ACCTAGACCCTGACCTTGACATCAGTACATCGTCGAACAACATGTTCCATGATAGGTGGGAGGTAAGACTGGCAAAAAAAGGCCGAAAGCAAGGTGTCAAAAGCTCATAAGGCCCATAGCCAACGCAAGATGTTAATAATTGGTCATTTGGGTCATGACATGACCTGAAAAAGAAAGTCATATCTCCGAAAAAACAGAAACCTGAAAGTTGAAATTTTCAGTGGACATCAAGAAAGGATAGAGGAGCAGCTACACGAAAAATCAGGCTTCTAGCTCTAAAGATATTGAGTGCAGAGCAGAAAGCCTACCTGGGGGGGGAACCCCATGTGCGGGCGAGGGTTCACAGTCTTCTATATCATCATGCAAAAGGGTATGGAGTTATTTATTAGCAGTTACTGACTAATGCCAGCGCTGCAAAAGCCCAGCATATTACGTTAATTATCCGACGGTGGTTTTCGCCGCCATACTCGTACTAAGATTACTACAAATCCCGGCCATCAGAGCCACAATCCCGCTCCGTTCGGAGTAGTGGTGTCAATCGGAACTTGAATCTTCGGAATTCCGATTTTGTCCAATGTCCAATTCGGAATTCGGTTGGATAATGACAGCAGGCTTTGGACAACTTTGGACAATCGCTTGCTACACCTCAACATTTTTATAAAGTAATCGTGTTTAACATTGATTGGCTATTAGAAAGCTCAGCTTTCGATATGTTTACCACTTTAAAGCTGGTAACGATACATTAATTGCAAATTAACCATCGCCCGTAAACGGTGTTTTGCCACCTTCGCCCATGTAGGGGGGGGGGTGCGACCCCCCTGGCGTTTGAAAACGGAGCGTCATAGAGCTTAGCGGAAAAGACCAACGGATTGCTCTCAACGAGATCTCGCGATACCCTCGCATGTGTGCGGCGTTTTCCAGCTTCTATATCACTGAAAACACGATTTACACCCCATTGACACCTTAAGTTGGGATTACACCCACTTTACACCAAATATGCACCAGAAGTACGCCAACCTGATGCCCATTATACACCGTTGTTAGTCCCTGTTTGCACCCATGAACCTTTTTAACACCGCTCATACACCGATCCGCTAAATATACCATCAACACACCAGGCGAACACCCTCGTTGAAACACCATCTGTACACCTAGGTGATGCCCAGATCGGGGTGTAATAAGGGAATAGATTGGGATAAGAACTTTCTGGAAACACCCTTTTTACACTATACGAACACCATCGTTGAAACACCATCTGTACACCATATGGCGATGCCCAGATCGGGGTGTAATAAGGGAATATATCGGGATAAGAACTTTCTGGAAATACTCCTTTTACACTATACGAACACCATCGTTGAAACGGTTACAGGACAATTTGCCGAACTGCATTTTGCCGAATGCTTATTCGCCGAATGTCAATATGTCGAATGCATTTTGCCGACGTGTCTTTTTGCCGACGTGTCAAAAGGGCGAAGTGCTAAAAGTCGAAATGCAATTTGCCGATATGCCTTTTTGCCGACGTGCAATTTGCCGAAAAGTCAATTAGTCGAAATGTCAATTCGCCGAAATGCTTATTTGCCGAAATGCTAATTAGTCGAAATGTAAATTTGCCGAAATGTCAATTTGCCGAAATGTCAATTAGTCGAAATGTCAATTCGTCGAAATGCTAATTTGCCGAAATGCTAATTAGTCGAAATGTAAATTTGCCGAAGTGTCAATTAGTCGAAATGTCAATTTACCGAAAAGTCAATTAGTCGAAATGTCAATTAGTCAAAATTAACCTAACCTAACCTAACCTAACGTGACCCGTAAATATTAACTTTAGGACCGACTCGCTTTTCAAAGTTAGAAACCCACTTTCATGCCACCAAAGTATAAGAAAAACATAACTAAACCTTACCTTACCTGACGTACTGATTTTTGCCTACCCGTGGATAAGGAAGAAGATACATTAATAGATTGCAGACAATGATAAGTCAATTATTTTTAGGTTAAGTGGTTGTGGATCAGGCTTCAGGCCTTCGGCCTGAAGCCAGATACACAACAATTTAACCCTCACCGGACCTATTGGTTTTCTACATACGCGCCGGCCGAGGTGGTAATTAAGGCGATTTGCCGAATGCATTTCGCCGAATGTCATTTTGCCGATGTGCTTTTTGCCGACCTGTCAAAAAGTCGAAATGCCATTTGCCGAAATGCTCATTAGTCGTTTCGCCCCTGATGGAGCTGGCGCGTCGCGGAAAAAACGAGCGTGTGCGCCGTTACGAGACGCAGAGATTGATACCCGATTTTAAGCTCCTACCTCAACCGGTGACCTCTGAGTGTTAGGGCCAAGTAAAGCTGCATATACCACGACACGGTGTATTGTGCTTCCAGCGACCGAAGACCAAGCACGGACACGGCGACCCGCCGACTGACCCAGTCCGGTCACGGTCGCGCCCTTATATAACCACGGCACAGAGCGCATGCGCGGTGACCACGCGGCGGTCAGGCGGCTCGCCGGCCGGCCGGCCGAGCCGCCGGCCCGGCCCGCGCCTCGGCCCCGCACGACCGGTCCGCGGTCACAATATCCCAACACTCCTCCCCCCATAAAAGAAACGTTTCCACTTGGTTAAGTAACAAAGAAACGCGACACACTACGCGACCGGAACGCGACCGGAAATACAAACTGATTCAGACACTGGTGATGCACATCGAGACCATCCGAGGCCTAGGATTGAAAACGATCTGGGGGGAGCGACACTCTGCCAGACCTGGTCACATACGCGCCCCGCACAGATGTACCCCCATTCCCCACCTGATCTCGGGACCGCCGGCAGAGGTAGTACAACGCCAGTGGATCCGGTCCAGTCTCCTCGGACCCCGTCTGCTTCCTGGGACGCGTTTCTGTGGCTGTGTCCGATGCGTCGTCCCTCCGGGTGCTTCCAGACGTTTCCTGTTTGTGGGACTCCCGTTCCACAGCTGGCTTTAGCTGGTTGAAGTGCAGAGCCTTTTCCTTGCCCTTGTCGTCACGGACGAGGTACGTTACTCCTCTCTCTCCTCCAAGGCGGCCGATGATGGTGCCCGGGCCTTTGTAGTACAGTCCCAGCTTCGGCTTCCCGCCGACCGAGACCCTATTATCCCGAATCCATACCCGGTCACCAGCCTCGAACCCTTTTCCGCTCGCGCGCTGGTTGAATCGGGTCGCAGCCTCCGTAGCACTGGCCCGGGTTTTCTTGATAGTCGTCTGATAAGCCTCTGAAATGGCCTTGAGACGGTCTTCAAGGTAGCACCGGATATTTACCGCCCGATCCGGAGGGTTGATGACCGCATCGAGTGGCGTTTTCGGGTGGAATCCGTGCAGCAGAAAGAACGGGGAATATCCGGTGACGCTGTGCACAGAGGTGTTGTAGGCCATGCAGTACGCCTTGATGTCAGCGTCCCAGTTCGCTCCTTGAGGGTCAACGTATTTGGCGACCATGTCCTTGAGTGTTCTCATAAAACGCTCTATCATACCATCACTCTCAGGGTGATAGGGTGTTGTACGCGTTTTCAGGATGCCCAGTCGCTTGCACATGCACTGGAACAATGCAGACTCAAATTGGCCTCCTTGGTCCGAGTGAATCCTGTCTGGCACCCCCATGTCGTAAACCCAATCCAACAGCACCGTGGTTACGGTTTCGGCATCCTGCCGTCTGACTGGGTACACTCGGACGTATTTAGAAAAATAGTCCATGATGACTACTGCATATCGGTTGCCTTTCTCCGACACCGGCATCTCAGTGATGTCAATCGCAATTCTGCGGAATGGTTGACTCGTGACCTCCGTCACCAGAGGAGCCCGTTTCTTCGGTGCAGGGCGATGGCGCCGTTGGCAAAGGTCACACGTGCTGCAGTACCGACGGATGTCCGCGAACATGCCGGGCCAGAGGAAGCGCTGTCGCACTCTTTCCGTTGTTCGACTCCGTCCCAAGTGTGCGGACGTCGGATGGTCATGGGCGAGCGTCATGATTCTTGATCGCATCGAATCGGGGACCAGAGCCCGGAAGCCCCACTTCGTCCTCATGCCGAGAACGCCCTCCCGCACTTCGAGCTGCGTCCAGCTCCCACGCAGTAGCTCCCACTCGGCGAGAGGGTGATCGGGCGGTGGTTCCCGACTGCCCAGACAGGCGTTCCGCATGACACTGAGGACCTCGTCCTCTTGTTGCGCCGTCTGCAACTCCGATTGTCCTGGTGCTTCAGTGATTAGGCGTCCCGCCTGGTCACCCTTCGCACTAGGTGGCGCAGTAGGCAGTGCGCAGACTTGGTCAAGTTCTGCTGCGCCTCGAGTCTTCCCCACACATTCCTCCTCTTCACCAGAAGCAGGTTCTTGGGCTCTTGTAGCTGCGGTATGCACGGGTGCTTGACCGGCTTCGGCGGGACAAGACTTGCTGCGCTTGCCCGTCCAGATATTGCCGTTGACTGGTCGCTGCCGGGACATCGCATCGGCATTGCCGTGATCACGGCCCGGCCGGACAATCACCCGGAACTGGTAAGAGCTCAGCTCGATGGCCCACCGGCCACGTCTTCCCGTCCCGTCACGTTCCACATTGATGGACTCCGGTACACCCGTGAGTGGTTTGTGATCGGTCACGACTTCGAATTCTGCTCCAACTGTGTACTGGTTGAATCGCCGGATGGCGTGAACGATGGCCCAGAGTTCTTTATCATATGTTGGCCATCTGCGCTGTTGCTTTGTCAGCACCTTACTGTCGTAGGCGATGACTCTCTCCGTGTCACCCACCCGCTCCGCGAGCACTGAACCGACTGCAGAGTCGGATGCATCCGTGTACAAGACGAATGTACCACGGAACGTAGGGAGGGCTAACACTGGAGGTGCAGTCAGCGCCTGCTTCAGACTCTCAAAAGCTGCTTCAGCTTCCGGCGTCCACGTCAGGTGGTCACCCACCACCTTGGCTTCCCTCAGCGGCTTCGTGAGATCCATGTATTGTGGGACAAAACGGCTGTAATATCCGCACAATCCGAGGAAGCTTTTCATGCCATCTTCCGTCTTCGGTGGAGCCCAGTCGAGTATCTTCTGGATGTTATGTGGGTCCGGTAGGAGTCCCTCCTTTGCGATCCGGTGACCGAGGAACGTAACTTCGCGCTTTGCGAGGCGGCACTTTTCTGGTTTGAGCTTCAGCTTCGCCGACCTCACTCGCTTGAAGACATCACGGAGCGTTGCGATGTGCTCGTCCTCGGATCTGCTTGATATGATGATGTCATCAAGGTAGACTAAACAGCGTTTCGAGTCCAGACCCGCAAGCACCAGTTCCATGAGTCGCTGGAATGTGGCTCCAGCATTTTTGAGACCCATGGCCATCACCCTGAACTGATGGAGTCCTTTGCCCGTGGAGAACGCCGTCTTTTCTCGGTCCTCTGTGGCCAGCGGGACCTGCCAGTAGCCGGTCGCCATGTCGAGCGTCGTGTACCACGTTGCCCCCGCTAGGGTATCCAACGCCTCGTCGACCCTCGGCAGAGGATGCGCACATCCTCGAGTTCGGCTGTTGATCGCGCGGAGATCGACGCAGAAGCGGAAACTTCCATCTTTCTTTCTGGCCAGGACGACTGGGGAGCACCACGGACTTGTACTCTCTTCAATTATTCCATCTTTCATCATCTGCGTCTTCTGCATCTCGACTTGCTCGCGGAGTTTAACTGGTACCCGCCGTGGTCTCTGCTTCACGGGAGCCTCCTCCCCTGTGTCGATGTGGTGTTCGAGCAAATCTGTCTTGCCGATATCACCCGCATACTGACTGAAGATGTCTGCATATTCGCTGAGAATGGTTCTGAGCTTCTCCTTTCCTTCCGCTGAGAAGTCAGATCCGTCCACATCAAGTACTTCTGTCACCGTCGTATTCTGACGCCTTTCTGTTCTGCAGCTCACATCATCAACGTCATCATCATCACTGTCCTCGACGCCTCCGTCTGCAGCCAGGCACAACTTGTACTCGCAGTCCTTCTCGTTTGTAGCATCATAAAACGTCCCTAGGTCACTGCCTCTGAGAACACGGACTTCTTCAGACCCAACATTTGTCAAAATGATCGAGACGCACCCGTCGTCGTCTGCAACGACCAGAGCCCTTGGAGTCAGGAGTCCCTCCCGCTCCGCTACGGTTGATGGCTCGAATATCCCGGCTGCACCCATTTCATCACTCTGCACGCCGTCCACTCTCTCCAGCTTACCGGCTACCACGCTCTCTGACCGTGCTGGAATGACGACGTTCGACAGTAATCGCACTCGCGCACGTCTTGGTCGAACCTGCTCCCGGCTCGGCAGGGGAACGCTCATGGTTCCAATCTTGAATGAGCCAGCGTCGTCGTCGATGACCGTGCGGAAGTCGCGACCTAGTATCACGTCGTACACGAGGTCGTCTGCCACGGTCACTACCGGGCATCGGAAGCTGACTCCATCAATGCATAATGAGAGGTTTTCCAACTCACCAACTACCTGGAGGGAGGTACCTCCCGCTCCGATAGCATTGCGCGCGCTCGGGCTGAGCCGGATTGCTCTGAGTGCTGGATTCCCCTCATAAAATCCTCTTCGCATCATGGTGAAGTCGGCACCAGTGTCCACCAGCGCCCATGTCGGAGCGCCGTGAATGACGACCCGAACGGCCGACGCCGTGAGTGGGGACGCTTTCGAGAGGACTGGGACCTGTCCCACGGCTCCAGTCCGGTTCAGTTTTCCTGATGCGCACCGGCGCCCCGCCGGTGATCAGCAGCTCTTGTCTCGGAGTGGCCTCCGCCAGTGCTGCCACCCTGGAAGTATTGGCACCCCGCCATCCAGTGGCCCTGCTGCCCGCAACATAAGCAGAGCGGCAGCGCGCGCCCATCCCTTGTCGACGGCAATGAAATGGGGCAGTGTCGCTTGAGGTGACCCAATTCTCCACAGCCGAAGCATCTGACGCTAGGTGAACCACGGCTACGCTCGGGGCAGTCTCGCTGAAAATGACCCGGCTGCTCGCAGCGGTAGCACCGGGGAAGTCGGCGAGACTTACTCGCATCAGTTGTCGTCTTCGGCGCCATTGTGATGGCCGATATCGACTCGTGTAGCCCGCGAATATGATCTTCGATGGCTGTGAGCCGGTTGTTGTCCGTCACAGTCTTTTCTGCTTGACCCGCGGTTGCTTCACCCCCGACCGGGCGGACCGCCCCGATGACGTCGATCTCATGATTTCGCACTGCCTTGATCGTCTTCCTCGTTTCCTCGAATTCTTTACTAACGCGTACCGCGTCAGTCAGTGTGGATACGTTTTGGCTGATTAACCTCTCTTGCAATTGCGTGTCACGGAGGCCACAGATGAATCGGCCGCACTGGAATCCCTCCATAGCGCTGTGGTCGCTGGGCAGAGCCGGCTGGGCTAGCCCACTCAGCTCTCTGATCCTGGCTGAGAAGTCTTCAACAGACTCCGAAGGTGATTGGCAAACTCGGTTGAGTTCGGCATGAGCCTGCAACGTGCTTATTTGCCGACCGAATCGACTTTTCAGTGCTTCAACCACCCTGCCGTAGTCCTTCCGTGACTCTTCGGTGAGTGACGCGAATGTGTCCAGTGCGACTCCGTCCAAAAGACCCACCATAGCCGCCAGCCGGTCCCCGGCTTTCATGCTCGCCGTCTGAGCTTCGAATCGGCAGAACCATTTCTGCCACACTTCCCCCGACTCTCCACTAAATTTCGAAGCTCTTGAAAGGAAAATGGTAGATAAATCCATAGTTTGTTATACTGAACTCTACTGGAGAGAACCTCTCACCACCCAAAGTCTCTACTCACCGGCTCCGTCCACCTTTTCCACCGTGAGCTTGCGTAGGTCGTCACAGAACTCTCACAGCAATCTTCCTTCTTAAAAACTCATATGCAGCCCATTTACGTTATTGGTCCTACCGACCGCGCCAAAATATGTTAGGGCCAAGTAAAGCTGCATATACCACGACACGGTGTATTGTGCTTCCAGCGACCGAAGACCAAGCACGGACACGGCGACCCGCCGACTGACCCAGTCCGGTCACGGTCGCGCCCTTATATAACCACGGCACAGAGCGCATGCGCGGTGACCACGCGGCGGTCAGGCGGCTCGCCGGCCGGCCGGCCGAGCCGCCGGCCCGGCCCGCGCCTCGGCCCCGCACGACCGGTCCGCGGTCACAATATCCCAACATGAGGTCAGGTCAAGTGCCCCAAGGTACGGTTCAGTTTTTGGCGAATAGCTTCGCCACAAAGGGCCGCAGGGCCGCGATTTTGGCAGCATCGTGTTTGCCTTGCTTAGGCGCGTCAAATGATATGATTTTTAATTGGGTCAGGTCAACTTAGGGTGTTGACCTCAGGTCACGGTCAGGTCAGCAACCCCAGGTCATGAAGTTGGTGGAAAGAGGTCATGTCGCATATCATTCGATTCGGCAGGTATTCTTGAGTCCATTGGTGGCTTTTCCGACTCGCTAGCTCAATTTGATCGGGAGTTATTGACAAAAAACGAATATGACCTTGATGACGTCATAAATGACGTCACGCAAGGTCAGAATTGCAAAAGTTACGCATCTAACCTTGCAAGGAGTGCGTCAAATCACGATTCTGTGTGCTTGAGATAGTTAGAGGTCGTTCCCGGCGCCAGAATAGCAGTTTTCATTTTTCTTCTTGACTTAGATATAATGGTGAGGTCACGAAAATGACCTGACCTCGTCCTCAAATAACCTTTAGGAAAATCTGAGATATACAAGCTGTGAGACTCGTAATGGATATTAGGTCCTGCAAGTTTCATTTCCCTGTGAAAGCTCCTCTGGCCGTGAGGGCGTTGCGAAGTTGCGACATCTGAAGACCGTGCAGAGGTTCTTTTATGACGTCATAGGTCGGTGACCTGACCTGACCCGAAAATGCGGTTGATGTAAAAAGATTTTTTTTTTAAATTTAGTCCGAACCTTTTGATGGGAAGGATTCACAAGGACAGAGCCACCGCTAAGCGAAGCTTGTTGCGATGACCCTGCCCTCTACCCTCCGATCGCGCAATTCCGATTCTATGGCAGAATTTAGAGTTCAAAGTTTAACGTGCGCACAAAGCCGCGCACGGCCGGTCCCCTCGCTGACTTCGCCTGGCTACGGCCTGCCACCAACCGCAACCATACCTGTCAGGAGGCCCATAAATGTCGAGCGCCCGTCGCGCTTCGAACCCGGACTGTCATAACCGGGAACGCGTGCTCTCACCACGCGGAGTCCAACGCTCTAACCAACTGAGCTACGGGACCGGGTCAAAGATCCGGCTTGAATCAAGGTCAGCTATGCAAAGTTTCAGCTCTATCGCCAGCGTGTTCGGAGCTATCGCGAAAAAAAACTATGGGGGTGCGGCACCCGCACCCCCCTCGGCCGGCGAGGTTTAACCTAAAAATATTTGACTTACCTTTGCCTGTAATCTCTCCTAGGGCATTGCCTTCGGCACTGCACTGCTTCGCCACGAGCAATTTTATGTTTATTTCCACATGGTATTGATGCTTCCATGAATAATGATTAGTTCTATGAGAAAAAACACTTTTAAATGGCCTCCTTACAATGAAATACCGAAAGATGAAATAATGAAATAATTATTGATGATTTCGACCACAGGTCATTATCAAAATAAGCCAGACAGAACTTTTTGCCACCGGGTCATTAATGAAATAATTATTTAATGAAATAATTGAATGAAATAAACTTAATGAAATAATTATTTCATTATTTCATCTTTCGGTATTTCATTGTAAGGAGGCCATTTAACCCGCGCCCTGCTGGGGGGGGGGTGTTTGAACACCCCCCCTTGTGGTTTTTCGCGAATATCTCAAAAACGGCGGCGCGGAGCGCCGCCGTTTTTGGTACACCTTATCATACATCAATTCTACACATGTTGTGAAAATTTCAGACCAAGGTCATTCAAGGTCAGGTCACCAGGTCACTTGAAGTGACCCCACCTCATAAAAAGTTTCAATGTCTGTCATAGCTACACCGAGTGACCGATCGCTTTGAAACTTTCAGCGATTGCTAAGAGCAATAACATGTAAAAAATGTATATCTCAGAATTTTGATATCGATGACCTAAGGTCAGGTCAATTTTGCGACCTCCCCATTATAAGTCAATGGGAGAAAATTGAAATGCGCCTCTTTTGGACGAAAGACATTATAAACACTCCCAAACACCGAATTACAAGTGGCTTAGACACACTGAACATGAAAATGGTGTCCGTGACCCTTGGCTGTGCCCTGAGGTCATCTTAGGTCACGAATGGTATCTAACAGTTTTTCGTAAATAACTTTTGATAGAGGCATGCTAGAGCGATGAAAACGCCTTATATGTGTTCAGCTCGACGATACGGATCGACTGATATGCAGCATGACCCTTTCCGGTCAGGTCATGACCTTGACCTGAGGTCAAATTTTCAAGTTGACCTTTCAAGGTCAAGTTATAGTCCATTCGATGCGTCTTGACGAGAGGAACACGATGCCGGTGAAAGTAAGCTCGTGCAAGGCCTGGGTCAAAAGTTATTGCAGAAAAATTGTTTCCGAAAAAATCGGCTATTTTTGCAGTTTTTGCCCCCTGCAGGCAAAACTGTTGACGTTAGGTCAAATCTGAGAGAATTACTCAGAAAGGGCGTTAATAGGGCTATCGAATGCACTTTTCCGCGGCGCTGTAGCTCTATTGGTTCCCGAGTTATGCGTTGGCTTCTTGGAAATTTTCGACATTCGACCTGGAAATCGGCGAAATTTTGCCTTCAATGACCTCTGGTGACCTGACCTTTGACCTGACCAAAAAATTGACTGAAGTGATTTCGTCATTATTTTTTGCGCTCTTTCGAACGCCGCCTTCCGCGTATCGCTACGTGGCCCAGGAGCCGAGTTACAAGGGGGGGTGTTCAAACACCCCCCCCCCCAGCAGGGCGTGGAAATCCAGGACCCCCAGCCGGGCGCGGGTTAAAAGTGTTTTTTCTCATAGAACTTATACCTATGCCTTACATACAGCAAGTGCTTCAACAATAATGATTAGTTAT